CTGATAATCTTCAGCGAATCCTAAAATCATGCTCAGAGGAATGGATACATCAAAATATCCTGCCTCATCAGTTATTTTCTTCTCGTTGTCAATTCTCCAGCCCGCATTTTCCATGAGATATTTCTGGCTAGGAGTCTGAGAGATGTAATTTTTCATTAATATTGTCAAGCCGACATTTTTACACCGATCAATTTCCACTGAAGTTAATTCATAGCGTATTTCCTCGAATAAATGACAGATGGCATTATTCACAAGTTGTGAATTTGCAACAAGTGTATTATCGGCTTCAGTTAATCTACCACAAATCTGCAATGAACTCTTGCATGGCAGTACATAGAGATCCTGGTGTTGCACAGAAATACGGATTTCGTCATTGTTGTTGAAGGAAGATGATGCAAATGGTTGGTGCGACTGAATCTCATAATGAGCAATCGACTCATCAAAGATTATCCGCTTCTGAATGTTCAGGATCTCTTCCATGGCAGATGACAGTAACAGCAGGCGATGAAGACACAGCAAACCCTCACTTTCCTTCTTTTCCGTGAATTCTTAGTCCCAGAGTACGCGGGAACTTGTTCTGCGATGTCAGCTTCGTGAGATGCACTCGACGACTGTTCGCTTGTCGGCATGAGTCCTCACTTTTATAACTGCGACCGACTTTCCTCCCCTCAAACACAATTTCCATTATTCAATGAGCTCTTATATGAAGTCGTATTGTGATGACTTCGCCACGGAAATTCACAGGGCGATTGTCTTGATCGACAATTCTCAATTGCAAATGGTCTATTGACCGCACCACGATTGGCAAGTAAATGACCTGAGCAGGTGTTTCAATGATCTTATATCCAGGTCGAATGCTTGGGAAGAATTCGTGAATTGTATGCACAGGTCGATTGTTAATGTAGGCTTCTGCAGTTTGATTACACTCAAAACGTAGAGAGTTCACATGAATGATATTTGGGGGCGTGGCAGATTCATAGAATGTTGAATATGCTAGAACTTGTCCTTGAAAACCAAGCAGTTGCCCAATGGAGTCCAACGGCCTGAAATTTATCATTTTGCTGCTTTATATCATTTCACCAACTAGAAATTTCAAACATAAATGTCCACAGATAATGGTATCATCGTCTTGATAATTTTTATGATTATATTTCACAACACTACCGCCACCGAAGTAATTAATCAACTATTGAGGTGGACGCAAATTGCCATAGCTATCAAAATAGATCACTTCATGATTCTTCTTTTTATATGCAACCCAATGAGTGCCGGGACCATCTTTATCATCAAGATTCACTATAGCTGATTCACATTTCCAGGGTCCACCTCGAGGCAACGCATTTCTCATATGAACTCCGCGAAAATGTGGAATTTTCATGATACTGGCATACTTCATCAAATCACCATCAGTGAGAGCTCGGTGCGGTAGGTTTACAAGTTTTTTGGATTCAAATGTAAACCCAGGCCAGACTTATAGGGTTTTAAGTATATTCCCTTGCCGAGAGCGATGGATTCAATGGTGCGGTTGTGACGTTTACCCTCTTCCAGTTCGGCTCTGGCATGTTTAGAAGTGTTGACAGCTTTGGCTATACCAGCAGCTCCACCCGCTAGGGCACCTGTCGCACTGAGTCCTGCCAATAATGGAATTAAAAATGCTGGTAAAATTCCCCCAATTTTCGATGGGATGGGGAGAGTTCGAGGCGTCGGCTTTATTTTTTTCCTCCCTCCAACATTTTTAACTGCTTCACGTGCACCTTTAAGTGCGCTCATCACAGCATTGGGTCCAGGCTGCCTGGAGCCTGTGGTGGCTCGTATAATCTGTCGCAGTGGTATCTTTTTCTTCACACTTCCCCCTCGACGTTTCTTCCGGCCACCACCACCACCACCACCACCACCACCACCACCACAGCCTGCAGTCTTTCTCCTTTTCATCGCACCAGCACTAATGTTTAGCCCCATACCGAATTTATGTTTCATCTTCAGGAGGTTACTCACACTCCAAGCAGCCGCCTTCTCACAAACACTAGCGTGTTTAGCAAAAGCCCTGTGCAGAGCTTTATCTTCCAGAATTCTATCAGCGGTGTGTCTAGCTGACAAATTTTCTGTATTTTTTGAATATGCTATATCGTGCTCTTTACACGCTTTATCCAATGGATTTATCCGAGGATCACCGCGTGCTAATCGTCTAGCCAACTTGGTGCCCGGCCCACAATACTGGTAGCCCGGTATATGCAATTCAATGGCTAACTTGTTGATGATATCGTTGACAATTCCTTTACCCTTCCGCGTTCTAAGACGTTTGCCCACCACCATGCTCTTGCGCAGACTGAAGTGCAAGTCTATAAATGTCATGTATTTATGGAGCTTGCTAGCAGTTGTCAAGATGGAGTTCAAGCAGCAAAGTTCGAAGCTGACAGTGATGAATTTCGATAAGATAACAGAGAAAAAGAAAGATAAACAAAAGAATTGTCACGGCCCACTTTTACCCAATACCGTACGTGCAATTATCTGTGGACCCTCAAACTGTGGTAAAACGAATGCCCTGTTCGCTCTCATTACCCATCCTAATGGGCTGAGATTCCAAAATGTCTATGTTTACTCCAAGTCCTTAAATCAACCGAAATATCAGTTTTTGAAAAAATTATTGACAACAGTGAAAGTTATTGGCTATTTTCCATTTAATGATCATGAAGAGGTGGTCAGACCCGAGGAAACTCATCCAAATTCTGTTATGATATTTGATGATGTCGCATGTGAAAAACAGAATAATATGCGTGCATTCTATTGCATGGGTCGCCATCAAAGTGTAGACTGTTTTTATCTCTGTCAGACCTATGCACGGATTCCAAAACACTTGATACGTGATAATACAAATTTACTCATTCTCTTCCGTCAGGATGAAATGAATTTGAAACACATTTATCAGGATCATGTTAATACAGACATGCCATACGGAGAGTTCAAAGATTTGTGCTCTGCTTGTTGGAATAATGATAAACATGGCTTCATCACCATCAACAAAGACTGTGAACTGCATGGGGGACGCTATCGACGAGGATTTGATTGTTTTGTATGTATAAAAACAAGCTGATAATGGGCACTCGACACAGTATGGAATTGAGCGTAACACCTTCGACATGCAGCCACCAGTCTTGCAAGGAGAGTCTGATGTATTGCATCACATTGCTGCATAAATATCAAACATTAAAGATGGGCAAAGATATGGCCGAGCGAGCTATGAATGAGGCCTTGAAACCTGTAATTACTCCTCTTGAAAAATTGATTGATTAAGCTGCCATCCAGAAGAAGAAAACGAAGAAAAAAAGAAATGAAAATATTATTATGAAAAAAGAAGCGGCGGCGGAGGGAGGAGTGAACTTATGTGATTATAAACAGGAAATTGCAACAACAAGTACTCCTGAACCGTTAAGCAGTCAACACGACGATTCCAAGAATGCGGTGGTTTCAGTGCTCGCAGACGTAGCTGATGAATCAGCCGCTCAATCTCATGTTGGGAATGTTCTCCAGTCGTATCTTAACATGTTCGGCACAAAAGAAGAAAAACATTTGGATAAACAATTTTGAGTTCGAAGAGTGGATGACCAATGGGAAATTGGAAATACTGAGGTGACCTTCAATGGAGATACAATGACTATTGGTGACAAGCAGTTCCGCTTAACTTCCAGTTTGGCATCTTTGATATTCCATAGAGATCCAGAAACCGGTAATGTGACATCAACAGATCAAATGCACTACGGTGAAATTCTGCGCCGTATGCACATCGATTGTACTATGATCCAAATAAGGTAGTGAAACGCAAAAGTCCTACGGAAAAATTTTTGAATATCATTGAACCTCTAATTAGACCGTATGAAAAGAGTGGTAAAGGGCTAATACCAGAGCTTATGGTGGCTCCAAGGAAAATGGGTTATATTTACTGGGATAATCCAAATGAATTGGTGGATAGACTCCGCTTGCTCATGGCATCTCAAGCTGCCGGTAATTCCA